TGAACCGATCGTTGTAAGTATCTCGAAATCGCTCAAAATAATTTTTAGAAATTTTTCCGGGATTTTTAGGGCCCCGGAAGACGCTTCACGCGCCACACACGCCGCCGCAGGGCGAGTGGCTGCTGGAAACCGGTTATGACCGGTTTTCAACCGGTTCGAACCGGTTTGACCGGTCTGAACCGGTTTGACCGGTCTGAATCAGTTTGACCGGTCTGACCCGACCCGACCGTTGACCCGACCCGACCCGACTGTTGACCGTTGACCGTTGACTTTCTTTGACCAAAACTTAAAATGGCTTTGACCGAGCATTAAACGACCGTTAATCTTTTCCGAGTATACCTATCCTGATAGTTTCGACGTGCCGAATCCGTTTCCGTGGTCCGTTTTGTCAAATTCGAATCCGAAGGTCTCCAAATCTACGGTCAAAGTGGTTGACTTTAACTTTGACCAAGAATTTGAATTTTCGGAAAGTCATACTTTATGTTTTTCGACGCCCTGATTCCGATTCCGCAATCCGTTTGGCCAAATTCATACTCGAAATACCTCAAATTGATAGTTAAACCCGAAAAATGCGTATATACTTAAGAAGTTTAGCTTTGAACAATTAAATAGGATTTGAGACTGATAAATATTATTGTTTGAAGGTACAAGAGACTCTCCGGATCGTTCGACAGCTCGACCCAGCTCTTCTAGATCAGTTAAACCACGTGTGCCAGTATTCACCCGTTCGAAAACTGTAGCAGAGCGTGGTGAAACCAGCAATCAGTAGATTTGTTATTTGAATCTATTGTCGAGGTGTGTTCCCTACTTATTACTGAACTGTTTTATTGGTTTTACTATGTGGTACACCGAATTCATTGGTTATTGTTTTATTAATACACCAATTTAATGTGACAATTTATGGAATATGGCTGCTATCTAATTTTTGTTTTGAAATGGTATATGATTACCATGTTTTGGATTTATGGAATTTATGTCACGGTGCAATTGAATTTTAGAATTGAATTACGATGGAATAGCTCTGATCAAGCTAACTGGGCCTAATGTGACTTTTGAGGGCCCCAAGATGTTTCATTAGGTCGACTTTCCTTTGCTGTGTGCTTAGGGTAAGCTATATGGACTTATTGACTTGGGCTTAAGGATACAAGCTTCAGAGCCTATCCTTAAGTCGGCTTTCTTTTTGCTATGTGCATAAAGTAAGCTATATGAAAAATAATTTTGGGAACTACTTATGGTATACCAGAAAAGGGTTTAAACAATGATTTTCAAAAAGTTAAACTCTTTTACGAATTTGTGAGATTACTGGACTATGATTTGTACCTATTGTGATTTTATGGAAATGTTGGGACACACTGAGCATAGCTCACCTTTTGAAAATGTTTTCCCCCTTTCAGATACTGTTGGTTAGATACATTGGTTCGAGCACTTGGAGGATCAACATATCTCTTGAAGTAAATCAGATTGTAATGTTTTTATCTGGCAAGTTGACTTTATTTTGGTGACATGGACCTTATTTTAAAATATCAGATTTTATAATGATAACTCTTTTGCTAATACTGCTCGGTTTATTGTGATTTTGAATTTGAAGACATGTTTTAAATTAAATTATTATTTATTGGTACTATATTTACGAGTTAGATTTTGATAGTATAATTTGTTTATAATTTCATGTTATTTATAATGTGATTTTATATTGATGGAATAACGGTTGCGAAAAATGTCTTTAATAATCATAATGTGATCCACTAGACTTAGTCAAAACGCATAGGCCGGGTCTAGGGGGTTACATAGATTGTGCCCAAACATTAAAAAAAAATACTCGGATCTTTTTATTAATTATTTTAATTCTATAAATTTATTAAAAAAATAATTTATTATCGTACTAATGAAAAGGGGAAAAATCACAAGTAGAATTAAGTTGTGACAAGTATTCAATTAATTTTTTTGAGTTAATTACATCATACGTCCTCAAAGTATACCATCATTTTAAATTGATCCTTAAACTTTTAAATATTCTAATTTCATCCCCAAACTATGAATATCATTCTAAATTAGTCCTTAAACTTTTGAACATTTCAATTACAACCCAAAATATGACCTTCATTCTAAATTGGTCCCCAAAGTTTTTTTAGCATTTCAATTTCATCCCATACCATACATATATAATAATCACATCTCATGTGAATAAAACCAGAAGGACAAGTTATTTTATTATATGTTTGAAAAAAACAAAATTTAGGTTAAGTTAGGCTTGAAACTAATTACATGTTTGGATGAAATTTGAATGTTCAAAAGTTTAAGGACTAATTTAAAATGATAATCATAGTTTGGAGATTAAATTAGAATTTTTAAAAGTTTAAGAATCGATTTAAAATGAGGGTTATAATTTGGGGACAGATGATGTAATTACCTCTTTTTTTAGATTTTAATTATATTAAAAAAACTAAACTAAATTATTTGATATTTTATAACGGCAAAAAAAATTCCCTCTATTTTAATCAAATGATTCAAAACCCCTCTTGTATTCTTATTTTTCTTGATGTGATATTCCTCGATATCCGATAATCACGAAGGTTACGAGTTATGACAAAGTGTATAATCGAATTGGGTTGTATCTTTTTTTAGAGAACAATCTCTTTCAATGTTACTTTTTAACATTCACATGACTCGAACTCATGTTTTAAATAGAAATATCAAATTATTTATCGTTCAACTCAATAAACATCAATATCACATATTTATCGATTAACTCGAATTCAATATACCATGTTATTTTCATATTTAAATGGTACCTTGTGCCAACAATAGATCATTCCAACAAGTAATGTACAACTTAATATTACCCCCACTAAATGAAAACAAGTAAATTAGATTATACAATTCCTTTACTAATTTAAGGTTGATTAGAAACTTGTTGCAGGTAAATGGAGGTAGGCATCCTAACACGCCCAAGAAACAAGGAAGTGTTCATTATCCAAATGGGATTTGCTTGAAAGTGATGGGTTGAAAAGCACATGTTTGCCATGTTTTCATGCCAAATTGCTTAAGAAATCAACAAGTCAAAGGTATTCTTAATATATGCCCATTGTGGAATTTTGCAGATGAAAATTTGTGGTCATGGTGGAATCTCAATTATGGAGAAGTTGCAGATGACATGGAATTTATATTATAAGACAAGTGGAATACCGAAAAAGGGAAATAATTTCATGTCATCCCTGTCGTTAAGTTTTTAGCGACGAGATATCAAATTGAAACATAAACTAAACGTTAGATATAATTTTTTTTAAATAAAGTTTAGGTATCAAAACAAAACAAAAGTGATTGTTTAGATACTAATCGTGTAATTTACTCGATAATATTTTTATTAGTCTTGCCAATTTCTTTCTTGTTTAAGAAGTATATTACGTCATGCATTTCCTTTCTTTTATTTTGCTAATTATGGGTTGGTTTGAGTTGAAACTTCTTATAGATGAGCGGAGGTAGGCATCCTAACACGGCTTGTTAAGGAAATAATAAGAGATGTTTAAAGGGGAAAAAAACAGTGATTTAAGGATGTTGGATTTCTTCTTCTTTCATTTTTGGTGTTTGATAATGTAAAGTTTAATTAATGGGTAAACCTGTGTGCTGGTTCTGTTATTTTTCTTTTCTTTCATTTTAGTCTTTTATAATGTAAAGTTTTGAGTTTGGCATCAAAGTCGTCGATAACTGCATACAGCTCTAATAAAGTCACAGATAGTTACTCCCGACTTCGGCATTAAATTATAGGATTGCTTTAGTAAAATCATTGGTAATCAAGGAAATATTATTATCCAAAGATTTGTTTGGAAGTGATTGTTTGAAAAGCATATATTTATATGAATCAAGTGACTTCGGTGGTCATAGAAATGATTGTTATTTTCAAAGATCTTGAGTTCGAATACGACATCTATAGGGGTATTTGAGTGTTCATTGTTAAATAATTAAAAGCTTTTTGAACAGATGCTACCTAATAATCATATCATATTAATACGTAAAAGCACATATTTGCCATGTTTATACTAAACTGCTTAAGAAACCAATTCATGTGATGTCTAAATCAAGAAGTCAATGTATTCTTAATATATGTGCCCAATGTGTAATTTTGCAGATGAAATTTGTGGTGGTAGTGGAAGCTCAGTTGTGGAGAAATGGTGTTCCATAAGAAAGAATGGAAGTTTGCTATTATTGTTATTAATTTGGGTAAGTACATAACATTATTTATTCAAAGATAATTCTTAATCATGTGACATTGAACATTCACATCTCTGACATTCATGGAACTCGAACCCGTGACCTCAAGAAATGACAACAATTTCTTTGATAACACACCTTATAGACGTAGCTGCTCGAACCTGAAACCTCTAAAGATAACAACACTCTTTTACCATTGATATCATTCAACATATTCTTTTTATTAATATAGAGTAAGTATAAGATAATGTATGTTTGTCTATAATAAGTTGTTTAATTTGAAAACTCTTTAAACGTTACTTTTACCGTCCACGAGACTTGAATTTAAAACCTTATTTGAAGAGTATCGACAGTGACCGAGTCCAATTGGAACATGGGAAGGGTACATGCTTATATATACGTGAGAAGTCGGACACATGCACTTAATGGAAAAAAAAATTATACCATCATCTTGTATTGATTCCAAAGACTCACACATGTCTGCCTGAAAATTAACTCACGGAAGGAAACTAGAAAAATCAGAAACCATTCAAGTACAGACACTGTATTCACAATACGTATAAAACATTCAAGTACAAGATGATGTTCAAACAGTACTATATCCATAACATTCAACTACAATACATCCAACTACCTAACGATACCAAAGGTGGCCGCGTTACATCGGGACCGAATCATAACTTCCAAAACAAGATAAAATTCAAGCTATCAGGAAATGAACATGGAAATCGTCTGATTAAATCGATATGGTTTGTACTTTTGCAGCTAAATGATTCAATGACCAACTTGTAGTTGAGGTTACAGATTGAGTTGCACCGGATACCTGTGGATGCAACCTTCCCAGGGATTGTTCGGAGACGGCTTCACGTTCCGGAGGGCGACCCAGACTGCGCTGTTACACTTGAAACCACTCCCGAACGCAATCTGCCAGACCCTGCTGCCCTTCCGCATCCTGCCTTTTGCCTCGGTATAGGCCAGCTCGTACCAGATCGAACTTGAAGAAGTGTTGCCGAATCGGTGGAGCGTCATTCGTGAGGCCTCAGCGTGTACAGGGAGAAGCTGCAGGTTCTTCTCGAGCTCATCGATCACGGCCCTCCCACCGGCGTGAATGCAGAAATGATCGAATGCGAGCTTGAAATCGGGGATGTATGGCTTGATTTTCGCATTGAACAACTTCTTGGCAACCAATGTTACAAAGAACAGAATCTGCTCGCTTATAGGAAGAACAAGGGGACCCAATGTTGTGATATTGGTCTTGAGTGCTCCACCAGCAATTGCCATCAAATCTTTGGACAAAGAAACACCAGTTTTCCCAGCATCATCCTGTTCCTGGTAAACACACTTGAATGCCTTGTCATTGGCACCACAATGTGTCCTCACCACATGAACAAGCTTGTACTTGCTCCGCCTCCGATCCGTCGACCGATTTGACAGCAGAACCGCTGCGCCACCGACTCGGAACAAACAATTCGGGATCAGCATCGATTTCTTGTTGCCGAAATACCAATTCTGTGTGATATTCTCGGTGCTAACCACAATAGCATAACTATTCCTATGAACTTGCAACATATCTTTAGCAAGATCAATGGCTATAACACCAGCACTACACCCCATTCCCCCAAGATTAAAGCTCCTAATGTTTCCCCTCATCTTGTACTTATTAATAATCATGGCGGACAATGAAGGTGTTGGATTAAACAAACTACAATTAACAACAAGAATCCCTATGTCTCTTGGCTTAACATTAGTATTGGCAAATAGCTTATCCAATGCACCAAACATCACCTGCTCGGCTTCTTCCCTCGCCGCCGTCATAGACGGCCTTGGAGGAATGGAATGCATCGCTTCCGGCACGACGGTCTCCTCGCCGAGCCCCGATCTTTCCAAAATCTTGCGCTGGAACTCGAGGGAGGACTCATTGAAATCGCCGGTGAGCTTGGAATGTTCCATGAACTGTTGGTACTTGACCTTGAGATGTGATGGAGGGAGGTAACAAGAGTAATCCACCAAGTAAACGGATCTCGGTCGGGTCATGATGTAAACGGTTGACCCGAACACGAGAACAGCGGAGAAGACGATGAAACTAACGAGATTGTACTGAAATTGAATCCACAATTGGTGGATGTCATCGAGGCTCAACCTCGATGCTTCGACGATGATGACAGCCATTAAAGGGACCAAACAAAGAGTCAGAAGATGAGTTATCAAATAATGGTAACCGAGTTTAACATACTTCAAGTTGACACTTTGTAAGAAATCCGGCAATCTCCGACGTTGCCGGATCTGAACTCCATTACTCCCTTCACCATTAACCATGATGGGTTACTAAAAAAAATTTGCTTTTTTTAAAACTTTTTCTTCAAAAACAGATCAAAACAAAGTCTGGGTTTTTTGAAAGAAGGAATTTGGGTATCCCTCGATGTGATAAAAAGGGGTATTTATAGTGAAAGTTGGGTGGGATTTACAGAGACACGTAGAGATGGTTAGGTTTCCATTAGTAGAAACGTTTATAGAGAGAAGAAGGAGAGATGGTGGGAGTTGGGAGTTTCCTGATCTGATCTTAACGCCAGCCGGCAAACAAATCCATTTCCGCACCACCATTAAAGTTCATTTATTTTTTGATTTCGCAACCCTCTTTGACTCTGAATATCTCTGGTCTTTATATTTTATTAATGGAGACTTCCTTTTCCAGTAATGTGAAGACAACAAAAAAACAGGGAAATGGGTTTGAACATTGAATATGAAGTGGATCAAGTTGATATCATGATATGTTGAATGGAGAAATCAAAGGGGATTGATTGATTTTACGCGTGAAAATGGTGTGTGTATGTGTGCGTACTTGAGGACGAGTCCAAGTGAAGGCAGCGGAAGTTTCAATGATGGTTCTTGCACGGCTTCAGATATGAGTGAAAATCAGACTCCAATAGGGTTTGGTGAATTCAGAGAAAGCGAGTGCTTTTTTAAGGATTATTTCCATTAGCCATACAAAACTATGCTATCAATTCTAAATTCGTCCTTCACTTGTTCACAATTTTCATCCATAAAAATATATTCTTTTACTCAAAATAAAATATTAAAGGTCAAACTGACTATTTAATCAAATATTAATTTATTTTTATATTATAGTTTTTGATAATGAGCTAAATTTTATGATTATTATTACTTTATAGTTTATTTTAGGTTAAATATATTTTTACTTTTGAAGTTATATTTCATTATTATTTTATAATTTTTTTTAATTTTATTGAAAAATAAAATATATCTAGATTGTAATAAAAATTTACAATCATAGCACTGTATTAAATAGGTAATAAAAATATTTTCATATAATGATTAATATAGAAAAACTAGTCACTTAATATCACAAAATGATCATACAAAAAAAGGTTAAAAAAACTAACAAAATAAACTCGAACAAAAGATAGATTCAAACATAACTGATCTCATCGACAAATGAACCACAAAAAGAGATCAAACTATTAAAAGATTGTCGACAAACCGTAAAACGAGAGTCGATCGACGTGAGAAAATTAATCACAAACATAAATCATGTATCCAAGTTCACTCGAATGATCCAAAACAAGGAAGATAAGCATGATAACAAATAAATGTTGTCTTGATCAGTTGTGAAAATGACAAATCCAACTTGAAAAAAAAATGATGAACGAAAACAACTAACGGACGACCTAAAACATGTCAAAAGACAGAGGAAAATATGAGTTTTTGATATTTAAAAAGATGGATTTTTTATTGTAAAGTTTATTTGTGTTGGGTAGGAAACAATTTTTGAGGTGGAAAATCAATGTGCAGTGTGGTTTATTTGGGAAATGAATGTGTTTTAGGTGAAGAATATTTAATTTCCAGAAATGCAAGTTGATGACATTATTTTTGGAGAAATGCTATAATAATGGGTCCACATACTTACCTGCCCATACTGTGTAAATCATTTGCCAATCCATGCCATTTAGTTTATTATGTATGTGCATCTTTGAACCATGCATGTTGGTGTGCAATTCATTTTTATTATTTTTCATTGTTTTCCATAACAATAATAAATCTTTGATTCAACTCCCTTATATTTTAAAATCAATTAAAGTACTTTTTCACCCTTAATTTTGATTTTAATTAACAATTTGACCCTTAGGTGACGTTTGGTTGGCATGAATCCTTTGGAATTAGGGGGAATTAGAATCCAATTCCACCACTTTCCCATGTTTGGTTCAAGTTTTCTAAGGGAATTGGAATCCCTCATAGCTTCAACTTTCTATCAAATGAGGGAAAGTGAATTATATCCATTCTATGATGGAATTCAATTCCCTTGTTGGAGGGAATTGAAATTTGACCATGCTACTCTCATCAATCTTTTGGTAACTTATTCATATATTGAATAAAATTATTTTTTTATTATTTCAGGTCGTGTAAGGTTTCTAATTCATATATTCGGGTCGGGTGAAACTTTATTTTGGTCGGGTCGGGTCGGTTTTTTTAAGTGTGATATTCGGGTCGGGTCGAGTTCGGGCTTAGGGTGAAAAATACCCGACCCGAAAATATATATAATTTTACCTTATATATTTAGGAATAATTACAATAATACCCCTCTATATATATATATATATATATTTGTCCAATTAAGTCACTGTTTTTATTGAATAAAAATAATTTTATTATTATTTCGGGTCGGGTTTCTAATTCATATATTCGGGTCGGGTGAAACTTTATTTTGGTCGGGTCGGGTCTTAGATGGAGGTTCCCTTGTTCTCGGGTCGGGTCGGTGGACCAAAAACCTGACCCAACCCGACCAATGACCATCCCTAATTGGGATGATTTTAACTTATGATGTTTATTAGCATGATTTTTATAATTTATTGAAATGAATAATCAATCAATAAAATTTAAATTTAATTTTTTTAAAATTTTTATAATATATTGCTACATGTAATTTATAAAACAAACTAAAATTAGGCAAAAAAAAACAAGAAGGACAATTCTGTCATTTTACATTACTGAAATCAAATTCATCTGACATATCTGCGAACCAAACAGAATATGGAATTGAATTCCAATTCCTGACAGATTTTAATTCCTTCACATGTTCCAATTCCCTCAGAAACATTCTAGCAAACCAAACGCCACCTTAATTTTTTTAATGCAAATTGACACTTAACTTTAACTTTGATATATAATCTAGTCCATGATAATTTTGTACAAATTTAAAATAATGATTTAAAATAAATAGAAAAAGTAAAAAAAACAAAGAGGTAAGATTTGTATTTCAAATTTTAATTTAATACAAATTCAAAAATCAAGGGCCAAATTGCATCCAACAAAAATTTAAGAGTTGGATTATAAAAAAATCATGCATCAACTTGCATATTAAAACTAAAGTAAGAGTCAAAAGGTACATTGATTTTCTTAAGAGTTAATTGTATTACATGTCCCCAAATTATGTCTCTCATTCTAAATTAATCCCTAAACTTTTGAACAATCCAATCTCATTCTTAAACTATGACATTCTAAATTAATCCCTAGACTTTTGAATATTTCAAATTCATCTTAATATATGACTCTTGTTCTATGTTGGTCCCTAAACTTTTGAATGATTTTGGGGGATATTATTGTAAAGTTTAAAAGTTTATGGACAAATTTAGAACGAGTGTCATAGTTGGGAATGGCCTATTTTTGAATGAGAGAAAATAGATGATTGAGATTAACAGTAGGAAATGAAAATATATTCACTCAAAAAAAATAAAGAATTAATCTTAATCGCCTATTTTAACTCATCAAACAATCCTAAATCCACATAAAATTAAAATAAAATACATTTTATAAGTGGGTCCTCAAACATAAAGTGTCTAAGTAACATTAACAAATAATTAGTATATTAAAATGATAAAGAAGAACTCAGACATGAAATTGAGTGCAGTTTATTAGAATATTTAATTAAAAAATTGGATGCGATCGTACGATATGCATCAATTAAAGAATTTAATAGTGTTGATAATGACTTATATGAGACAGCTAGGCAACGTTGTTGTGGTAGGGTCATTCATTCATCTTACAAGAAAAGAAAGACAACTTAAGAAAGGAAATTAACTTAAATTAAATACTTATATTTTATATTCAAAATATTTGTAAATTTAAATACCTTTATATATTCATATTGTCTTCAATTTATTTTATACAGTTCGTAGCTGTCTTGAATGATATGTTTTTCATATTTATTAGATAATCAAGCTTAGATAAATTGTGTAAGGATATAATCGATCTGAATTAAATTTAAACAGTGATAAGTTTGAGGGGAAAATCATATTTTATTTATTTTTTAAAAAAATAACTTTTACTACGCCTGTTATTTCATTTAAAAAAATAAATTTTACTATACATGTTTCTTAAGAAAATGAAACACAAAGAAAAAATATGTTGATATACATTTATATTAATATATTTCATGATAATTACAATATTAAATTTAAATTATAAAATATGTTGATATAATATAATATATTAGACATAATTTATTACTAATTTTTAAATTAAATTAGCGTTAAATCAGAAAAAGAAATCACGGAAAATAAAATTTAAATTTAAAGATGTTTATTCTCGAAGAAGAGAAAATTCCGGAGAGTCAAAGATTAGGCCGAGTGTGTGGTGGTTTCACGAAGAACAAAAGTCAAACGGTGAAGGGCCGCTGCCCAAAATTTGCTATGGGCTTACATCTATCGTTGTTCGATGATGTATGCGGGCCATGTATAAATATTTATAAATTAACTCATTTATTTATCTTTTTTATTTTATGGTGTAATTAATAAGATAACACGTGTTTATTGTTGGCCGTTTGATCATTTTTGTCGTTTATTTTTTAGAGTTTGATTTTACATCATTGCGACTAATGAAGGTAACGCTCATTTGTTATCCCGCTGATCTTTTCTATTTTAGACACTCGAATTAGATTTGGATAGACATTATGTGTTCATAGATGGTTTTCTCACGATGTTTGATCCTGATTGATGTTTACCGGTTGTCTTTCAATAGTTTAATATCATGTTGTAGTTCATTTACCGTAACAGTCAGATTTGTTCGTATTTACCTATTATTCAATATTTTTTTTAGATGTATTTTTTTTACTTTTTCATTGTGTAATCCATATATGATCGTAAATAGTTAGTTTTCTTGTTTTAATAATTATAGAAGAAAATCCCAATTATATGTTTAATTTACCATTCTAGTTGTAAATCCTTACTGTTTTTTTATATAAATTTTATTATTCAAATTAGTTTTTTTCTTTAAAAAAAGTTTTAATTAGTTGATTCAATTGTTGTTACAGCATATAGAATACGTGAACTTAAGTACATTTAATCGTATAATATTTTTCGATGTATGATTGAAGACGAGTTTCAATAATTTAGATATTATATAGATAGAAAATAAATTTTATTATGATATCTTCGGTATTTATTTATTTATTTATTTATTTATTTATTTATACGTCTATATTTAAGATTGTGGTTATCATTCTCAAATTTTTTTAAAAGCAAAATAAAATTTTAATTTTTAAATTTGATTTTACATAATTTTGTCCTATCCTTCTGTAATATTAGAAAACATTATCAATTGTTGCGTCAATAGTAATAAAATGACTTTTACCTTATAAAAGATAAAAAGGACATTTAGACTTATTATTAAGATTATAAAAAAATAAAGATACCGGGTTAAGCTAAATTAAAATAATAGAATATTAAAACTCAATTTTTAACATAATAAAAATGACTAAAATAATATTGACATTGGCCGATCGAAATGCATACAGACAATGTTGTTTTTAGGGATGTAAATGAGACGAGACAGATCGTGAGTTACTCGAGATTGACTTGGTCAATGCTCGATAAATACTCGGATCGAATGAACTGACTCGAGCTCGAGCTCGACTCGAATTCTTAACGAACCGAAATAAGCTGCTTGATGCTCAACTCGAAAAGCTCGTGAGCAGCTCGAAAATATAATATATTAAGATTTTATTTTTTAAAAAATAAATTGTTAATAATATTAACATTTATGTGTTGATTTGTTTTTAAAAAATACAATAAAATTTTTATGTATTTAAGATTCAGGTTCGAGTTTGAGTTTAAGGCTTCAATCTAGTTAAGTTTAAGTTTTTTTTCATTTCGAGCCTTTTCGAGCTGCTAACGAGCTTCATTTCAGGATTTCGAGTTCGAGTCGAGCTTAAAAATTTTAAGCTCACGAGTTTTCAAGTCGAGTCAAGCTTCATTTTAGAGTTTTCGAGCCGAGCTCAACAATACTCGAGCTCGACTCGGCTCGTTTACACCCCTAGTTGTTTCCGATGATTAATGTACATGGAGAGTGGATGTGGCTCTTGCTATTCCTGAAGTTTTTGGTCTAATAGCATTTTAGTCTCGTATCAGTTTAAACTTAAGTAAAATTAGACTTTTATCCCTTGCATTTTTTTTAGATTAAATACTTAACAAATCTCTATTATTTTGAACTTAGATAAATGATTCCTTCGAATATTTGATCCTAAATCGATCCCTAATTATTTCTATTTCCATGCCACATTTTGACAAGTTAATAGTAAACAAATCGCCTCTAAGTTGCCCCTCTCATTTTTAATTTTAAAAATTAGATAATCTTAGTATATTATTTTTTTTAAAATTTAGATATTAATTGAAAATTATTATTTCTCACTTAGGGTGAAGTTTTTCTTTAATATAGCTGAGAATAAAAAAATTAAGATTTATTTAAAATGTAAAGATTAAATTTAATTATAATGTAGGAAGAATATTAAAATTTGACCTAAAAAGTCATTACCCTTTGACATGCATGCAGAATACGGTGGTTCTATTGCCATCTCGCCTTTTTAACGGATAACCATATTTATGTTGATGGAAATTTAAAAGTCATGAATAATGACGAATTTATTAATATTAATATTATTATTTGATACAATATCATTACTGACATGCATATGTATATATATATATATATATATATAAGAACAAGCAAAACTTAACTTAGAATATTAAGAGAATATTATGAAATCACTAATCGTGATTATCCTAATATCATTATTAGTAGGTGCATAATGGAGGTTCATCGATGTTTAACGTAGGTGCATGAGCCTTTCTCCATTAATCCAGCCTTGAGATTCTTCATCCTGCGTATTAAAAGAAGAATATTACATATATATTCATGTAATAAGAGTGTGTGATTTAGCCGCGTGAAAATAAGCCGACATTCTTATGATTATCGAATACCGAAAATATTATCATCACATGTGAGAGTGTTTACCTCCGGAGTTCCTGCCGGTGGTGGTCCTATAGTTGGGGAATGGCACTTGACCCGACTCGATTTTCATCACATCATTCACCAGCAGCTCGTAGTGCCTCTTCACTTCTTCCGCAGTTTTACCTCCGACAGCCTTGGCAACATTGTACCAACGGTCGGCTGAGTCTTTGTCGTAAACGGCCAAAGCCCTCTCGAAATCCTTGTTCTGCTTCGCCGTCCACGAACCGGAACCGTGCGACGACATTGAGCTCGACGCCATTTTCAAGATACTGTTTCAAGAAAAGACTGCGAAGAAGGGATGATATGGTGAGCAGAAGGACTCGGCAATGGCTGCTCTTTATAGGCAGCAGAGCAGCCATAGGGGGCGTGTGGGGGTTAGGGATGGACAGATGGATCATGAAAATTTCAAATTCTAATATAGTTTATCGTTTATTTATATTTTTTTATTGATGATTTAATCATATACTCTCCAAATATTAATATACTTTTTAAAATTCGTATCTTTTAATATAAAATTTTATGTTTATAACTGCATAGGGTTATTTAGGGGCAAAGGCCGATTGGCCTAGAAATCTTGCACACCAGGTTGTAAAGATTTGTCTCCTTAAGAACCACAGAAAATGTTGTAAAAAAAATGATGATGAAGAGGAAATGCATGAGAATCAGTATCTTCAATTAAGGATGACAAATTAATCTAAAATTGACGGATTCTAACTTGATCCTATTTAATAAGGTCAAATTTTATAAATATAATTCAGATTCGAGTTAGGTCGAGACAAATTTTATAAATGAGTGGAGTCGGTTCGAGACAAATTTAACAGTAACTATATACGTAATTGCATTTAAATCCTTTCCTTTTTCAGATATACTTTTTCCGCACATGTGATTTGAAGTCAAAGATATTTTTTGTTTCATGATCATGGGTAAGTTGTATGAACTGATTGATTTGAGTTTTATTTGCCGATAATAAAAATACTTTTCATTTTATCCACAACAAAGACTCTCAGTTGACGATGGAGCTTAGGTTATAGGCATCGTAATGGCTATGGATGAATTATATATTGCTCGAATTATTCATTTTATTTGAAATACTCTATACAAGAAAGTAAAACCTTTAAAAATAAAAATGTATACTTGTATCTAAATAAATTTTAAAGATTTTTTTATTTTATATATATAAAAAAAACCCATAATAAGATCTTAAGCAAAATAAAAAATTTGAATTATAAAATTATAAATGAAGGAAATTAAGTTAGAAAGACCGTCCCCGTAATAAATTATTATAATATATAATCTAAAATTTAAAATTTCCTTAGTTTATTAACAACATTCATATCTTATATAAATACAAATAATTATATATATATATATATAATTATTAATTTGAGTTTTGCATGTTTATGATTCTAGTTCTTGCATGCGCTTAAGTGGGCCCATTCTCGAACCATAGACCAAATCACCAAAATCTAATGTCCGTACTATAACCTCACATGTTCACCTTATTGTTAAATATTATACTACGTTAGGGATAAAATCAATTTTTAACCTTTAAATTTGGTATTTTTTTCTTTTTCTATCCCTATTAATCTCCTAATTTGACAAAAAAGAAAGTCAACTTTTAGTCTTTTCTAATGAAAGGGCATAATCTTCTAGTGTCGTATCATCAAAATGACACAAAAAAGGGCCCTAAATTCATGGACTCGTGTTAAGAAAAGTTATAAAATTTCAGGAACTAAAAGTTGATTTATCCCTTAATATTAGCATTCCAGCTGGCATGTTGATTTCGTAATAATCACGTGCGTGTTTGTGTTTCTTCTGCTACAAAGGTAAACAAAACATACTTGCAATTCTGAGTTTTCTTTGATGAATGGTTGGTTTTAAAGTGTGTGTTATAGCTTAGTTTAAGACCTGCAAATGAATGAAAGAGAAAAGTGACAGACATGGCAGAATTATTGTCACTAAAATGTGCAGACCACGTCAAAAGCTGGTACCAGACGAAATCGAGACAGAATACTTCCGTATGTGAGAAAAGATATCAGATAGAGTTACACCCACTTGTTCTTCAATTTTATTGCCCCTGTACTACAGAAATTATTGCTGCTTCTTTTAATGTCTGAATTTGTTTCCTTTTTTCCTTGTCCAAATGGGAATTTGATTTGAAATCTTTCCGAATAAATGAGTATGATCTTCGGCTGGTCCATATCCAATGATGATGATCCATAATCGTCTACCATGTACATTTATTTCATGTTCATCTCCTACTCATTACATTTTATTTGTGAATTCGTAAATGAAAGGGAGAGAATAAATATCTGGTTTTGGAATAGCAAGTCAAAATCCTCAACAGCATCACACATTCGTATAGCTTTGCAAGTTGAGTTATAGAGTTAGCTGTTACCCCCAACCTATAATGGACCTACTAGTACGCCCTCAGCATTTGGGGAAAAAGCATGACGACGACGATTCCTTCGCATCGATCTCAACTAGCAGAGGGGCATCGCTTAAAAATGCGAGGCTGCCTAGCTGGTTTACCATTGCAGCATTGTCTTCACACACAAGGTGATGGCCTCTAGTGTGTCAAGTTGCGGAAGGACCGACCACATGCAAATGGGTGATGATTGGTTGAAAGTTACATCAAGATGGACTGAGGAGTATTCGGGGTGTAATCATATCTCTAAAAATTTTGAATTTTCATACAATTTATGTATCCTTATATGTTCTATTGATAACCCTCTTAAAATTTTAATATAAATTCTTAAGTTCATACACTCGAATACACCCTTTCCTAACTTTGACAACGTACAACTTTGTCGAGGGGGATCCTTATCATTCATTGTTTGGCCAAGTGGTCCTTGTCTCGTCCAATTGCCTTTCGCTTTCCCCAATGATTTGTTAATCATTTCAAACTTAATCCGTTGGGGTGTTACTAAGCTTTTGAATTATATTATCGGCAATAAATACCACAAAATCATGAAGATGAAACTTCACATGGCTTAAACTCAACTGCGAAAGAATAAAGATGATGATGCTACTTTAAACTTCTTTTTTACATGTAATCTTTGAACAAAGTGAAATTTCGTTGTGCAATTTGAGTAGGAGGGCGAAAACCAAAAGCTATAGGGGTATTGTCGTAACCGTCCTTCGGGTAGGTTCAGAATCGGGTTTCGACTTAAATTTGATGTGTTAGAGCCGCCACCGATCATTTAAAATTAGGTTGACCGGGCACCTTAACTTACCATTTACCTGATCTGCGTTTTACCAGAAATTTATCGGACTCAGGAATCGATTACAGTCAATGAAAGATTAGCACCCTCATACTGCATTTTTTGTATCAATTTAATTTTTTGGTTATCTTAATTGTAAATATTAAAAGTTAAATTAAAATTTAAAATTTCGATCCGAATTACTTAACTTTTGATAGATTTTAAAATTGTCCTAAAAAATAAACCAAATATTAAACAATAAAATTAAATAAAAATTAAATAAATAAAAAAATAAAAAGAAATTTTATATTAAAAGGATTAAACTGAAAAGATTTAAAAACCAAGGATAAAGTTGATATTAATTACAAGCTGCAAGGAAAAAAAAAAGAAGTTAGGGGGTTTAATCGCATAAAAATAAAAAATATAAATAGAGACCAAATTGAATTAATTCAAAATTCCAGGGCCAATTTACAATAGGTGACCAAAATGAATTACGTATCAAAATAATATAGACTACTAAAATAATTTATGAATTTGGTATTTACAAGGTGGTCTCCTATACATACCCATAAATTCCCAAAAAGATCATTTCATCCCCGTTTTTTTATAAAAAAAAACTCTCAAGCCTTCTCTCAACCCTCTCCCCCATCCAGTCAAGTGTCGGCCACCCAACAGTGAAGACGTCGCCGCTGACCGTCGCTCCTAAAATAAAACTCACCCAAAATGCTCCTCCCAACCTCGTGAACGCAAATCCAAAGCTCGACTATCCCAATAAAAACCAAATCGGCGTATATCTAAGTTTTAAGGTTCAAATTTTTACCTTTTCCAACGAACCCTTTCGACTTCCGATGGTCATTTCCTTCCCGATCCGAGACTAACGTTGCATTTATGTTTTTTTGCTTGTGTGAATGCAGTGTTTTGAAAATCGGATCAGACCGGCCGGTTCAACCGGGAACCATTGTCTAGTCCGGTTCAATCTAGACCGGTTGAACCGCTACTAGTGAACCGGTCAGAACGGCTGAACCGTTCAAACCGGACCAGTTGAAAATCGGAAAAAACCGGGAAAAACTGCCATTTTTGTTTTTGTTTTTTAAATTAAACCAAACGACGTCATTTGTTAAACGAGCCAAGTCGAACTTGAGTATTGCTGAGCCCGACTCGAACTTGAAAAATTTAAAAGTAAGCTCAACTCGACTCAGACTCACGAGCTAAAAATTATCAAGTTTAACTCGAAAAATATAATATTGAAACTTGAACTCGAAAAGGCTTGAACTCAAAAAAAAATTTAGAAGCTCGATTGAAGCCTAAAATTCGAGCTTGATTGAAGTGAAAGAATAGTTCACTCAATGCTCACCAAAAGGCTCTATGATTTTGAATGCCAAATTACCTCTATTATTTATAGAAGTTAGTTGGGATGATCTTCTATGTTTCTTAGCCATGTGAGATTGTTTTAAAAAAAAAATTAAACCAAACAATATCATTTTGTTATGATTTTTTTAGCCCCAAATTTATTTTTTAATTATAGTTATATAATTATATTTATTATTTAATATGTTTTACCTTAAATATTATGTTGTAGTTAATTTGAATCATTTTGTTTTACTTGATTTTATGGTTTTTAACTTATATATGTTATGACTTGCTTTGAATATGAATTCTGATATAAAAAATTATTTTTTATTAAATATTTTTGGTATTTTTATTTGATTTTTTAAATAATTATGACGTCGTTTAGTTCTTCCGACCGGACGGACCGGTTCGACCGGTTGAACCGGTAGCATGATCGGTTCGCTAACCGGTCCTGTTCTGAAAACCATGTGTGAATGCTTCGTTTGGTTTTGTTTCGATAATTGGTTAACTTGTTTTTTGGTTTTTTTTTGTGTATGCTTTGTTGCTCGATGTTCTTCGTATATTTTCGGTGCCGTCACTTAAATTCACCGACGGCTTTTATATCACCTGAAAACCTTGAATCGGTTTGTTGAGATACCGATTTAGTTCGATTATGGCCGATTTTTCGATGTTGGTTGCTGAGAAACAGAAGAGATTTCTTCCGATTTGCTCCCTAGTTTTTTTAGTTCGACGTTGGC